GCGAGTGGCGACGCTGGTGCGGAGTGCCAGGCTGCGGGTGTCGGCGTCTCCTCCGCGAAGCGCCGCCCGTGCTCGGGCCGGTTGGTCAGCCAAGCCTGGCTTTAAGCGTCGCCTGAAGTGCGCTGCTTCCATTTTCTCCCCACGCAGCGCTTGACGCACAGATCTTTCCCCAAGCAGCGCGTAAGCTCCATGGAAAAAGAGGGGCGCCTCAGTTGACAGGGAGATCCACCGTGCGGCTGCTCAGCGTAGTTTTAGCTAAACTTCAGGAGACTTCAGTGAGTGCTGTAACACTTCAGTATGCTGTAGATACCTATTAATACACTCTTCTCTTTTTTTTTCTTTTTTTTTTTTCCCCTAGTTCTCTTTTAATATGTTTGATCACCCCATCCCTCGAGTTTTCCAGAACCGCTTCTCAACCCAATACCGCTGCTTCTCGGTATCCATGCTTGCTGGACCTAATGACAGGTCAGATGTGGAGAAAGGCGGGAAGAGTATGTGCATGTTTTATTTTGACTAATAACCTGTTCGAAGAGTGTTTGTGAATAATATCGAGTAATACAGCTTGTGGCCAAGACAGCAGAAACATTGTTGAACGGCATGGAGACATACTGTTGGCTTTGTGGCTGGAGCTAGAAGAGCACCCTGGGTGGGGCTTTAAGAAGGAAGGAGGAGGGTTTTATCGCATTAGTGTGTAATTAAAAAACTTACCGAGTGAGTCCTGGTTTATGAGCATTAGAAGAAGACATTCTTTTTTGAAGTCTCTTGTTAAAATCTTAGGCCCATTATGAGCCATGGAAATTTATGATTACGGGCTTTTTTCGCCTCCTTGTTGTACCTCACTTAGCTTGAACAAGGAGAATATATCAGCCAACTTAATTTTCAGGCTGTCAGACTAATGCTGTGTTGTTTTGAGTTGGATTTAAGAGCACCTATAAGCCCAAACAAATAAAATTACCATTAGGAAACATTTTCCTTAGTACTAGATATTGTAAAACCTTGTCTTCTCTTTTTTTCTGATTAAATTCTGAAATCTCCATGCTAGCAAGTATATTTGTCGTGACTGATTCTGTTGAAATCTTTGGCTCAAAAATGAATTTGCAGGAGATTTTAGAGTCTCCTTTTTTTAGAGGAGATTTTAGAGAAAGGAATGATAAAATTGTATTTTATGTACTCTTTGTACAGTCATACTTTTCCTAATTTTACATTCTTATCCATTTCTGCAGTAATTATGCCACCATCAGCTTTGGATCAACTCAGTAAGTGGATATTTTATTCTGGAATAACATTAGAAATATTAGCAAATGCGTAAGCAAATACCACAGTATTTTAGTTATCTATTAAATCTGACTTAAATAGAGAATATGAGACTAATTAGTTAAAAAAAGGTGTTTTGGAAGTATTTTGTCTTGTCAAAATTAATGAGGCTTGTCTGTCTTCAAGTACAGACATCTGAAATGTTGGGCCACCTGAGGCGTGAATTAATATTTATTAACTCTTAACAGGTACTCAGTATAATGGTTACAGTTAATCTAGTAAATTCTTAATCTCAACCTGCTTGTTCTGGATGTTGTTGTCTGGAGCAAAATTTATTTTAAGAGCAAAATAAGTGATAATTAACTTTGAAATGGGGAAAAAGATAACGGAATCAATAGTATAAATGGTCTTTATTGGCCTTTTTAACTAAGGGGTTCGCCCCCCACCTTCCCCCCCAGACTTTTAGCCTTAATAGAATTTCTTTGAGAAATTAGTTTAATCAGGATTTAGTTTTAAAATATGCAGGGCCTGCTAAAATTCATTAGGTAGGAGCTAACTGATAATAGCACAAGGACGTAACAGTAATAGATTTCTCTGCTAACACCTGCTGCCTGTTCATCTCTGAGCTTGGGGAAATGTTGGAGAATTATTTAAAATTCTAAGTGTGATGGCAATACGGTGTTCATGTATGTGCATTCTCTCCTGGATTTGTAGTTTTGAGCATCTGGAATAATGGTGTGAGGGGAATCCTCTCCTGTAGTCTGGCCCATTCTCTTGCTAATGTTCAATCTCTGAAAGCTTCAGAAATGTGTTCGTGGCTTTTAACAAATAACATTTTTTTTCTCCTTTCTCACCAGGCCGACTTAATATTACTTACCCGATGCTGTTTAAGCTGACCAATAAAAATTCAGACCGAATGACGCACTGTGGAGTGCTTGAATTTGTGGCTGATGAGGGCATATGTTACCTTCCACACTGGGTGAGTTGTCTCATGCTGAACTGTCAAAACCTGAAGAGTAGGATTAGTGAGTTGCCAGTTTAATATTAAAGAGATGGAATGTTTCCTCAAAGTGTGTGTCTTTGCTAGTCACGTTCCTACAACAGCTTTTAGTCACAGCTTAGGTTTCCCTCCATGAGAGTTCAACTAACTAAGCAAAGCAGACTGCTTTTTAAGATGCACCTGACTGTTCTTCCTGAAATTAAACCATGGTAAACTGGTGCATTTCAAGGAAGATGGTGGCCCCAGTGAAAATAGGTATACGCAAGGAAAGAGACTTAAAAACATCAGTCATGTTGATAGTGGTTTGTATTTTTGTTTTCATTCTTGCAGATGATGCAGAACTTGCTGCTGGAAGAGGGAGGCCTGGTGCAAGTGGAGAGTGTTAATCTTCAAGTGGCTACTTACTCAAAATTTCAGCCACAGAGTCCAGATTTTCTTGACATCACCAATCCCAAAGCTGTGTATCCTTCCTATTCAATTATGGAGTGGGGGACAAAAGTTTTCTCCCAAATTGGAATGATGAAGCAGAGCTAGCTTTTCAGGTGTGGCTCATACTCTTCCAGTAGTAGGTAACTACTACTACTCCTTCTGAAAACAAAAAGGATGGAGAGCTTATGTACAGAGATGTTGCCAACTGCTGGCAGAAAGTGTAGCCTGGAGTGAAGAAGCATGAATCTTGGCTTAAAGTCCAATGAGTTTGAGTGTCCCTTAGAAGAACTTTTACACCCTAATGTTTACTAAAAGGCTATCTACAGTACTGATGACTTTTAAACCATGTTTGAGAGACCAAGGATCAGAGTTTTATAGTAACGTTAAAGCTTTGGTATTGCATTGAAAACAAATGTTTCATCTTAACATACTCCAAAGATTAGAAAATGCATTGAGAAACTTCGCTTGTCTAACTACTGGGGATGTTATTGCCATCAACTACAATGAAAAGGTACAGTATGCAACACCAGTCCATGCACGTTTTGTTTGGATACCATCAATTTGAGGAAATAAATTCTGCCCCATGTAAAAAAGTACACTGCATTTCAGTAGATTGTGACCACATAAGTATTTTGACTACATTTCATGAATAGATTTTATAGATGAGTATTTTTGGCAGCACGTGCGCATTTGATCACTTGGGGTTGTAGCCTAAGCTCAGTTGTTGGGTGTTGGTGCTAAAACAGTCAACACAGAGCTGTGCAGTATTGTCGACAAGTAATCCCAGATGGTAGATTTCGCAATCAGTTTTCTATTGGAGGAAAAAATGGGTCAGTTAAGTCTTCTCCTGAGCTGCTGTTTAGACTGTTTTTTGGACTCACGAGAAAATACAATTTTGTGCTGTTGATGTTTTTACAAGTCAAGGGACAGAATTTCTGCTAAATTAATAATTTGTTTTCAAAAATGCAGATTAAGGTACAGTAAGAATGCAACAAGGTACTGTAAAAGGTAGGTTCTCTAGCTCCAGCATATAGCAATCTTCTAAGTTAAAAATCTTTGCTCTCAAGTTCTGTAGAGACCCTACAGTATCCAGTCCTCAACATAAAGAGCACTTACTTCAATTTTCTTGAAGCTATCGGAAGGGAAAGGTTTAGATAGACTTTTCTTATGTATAAGTTGAGCTCTTTCAGGTGCAATCTTAAAATATTCATTACTGTTTCAGATCTATGAGCTTCGGGTAATGGAGACCAAACCGGATAAGGCTGTGTCCATCATAGAATGTGATATGAATGTAAGTTAAAGCTGATGTGGAAAGTCTGCTTTTACTGTGTCCTCCCAAAAGTAGCGGATATCTCGTTCAGTGATAGCGCTGTACACCAAGCACCTCTGATGCTGCAGGAAAGGTGGGGTATCTATCAGATGGGATAGGGAAGGTGACTCATTTGAGAGTACCACATGTACCTTTGTAACCACATCTGTGACCTTGAGATGCACTTCATGTACCATCAGGTGACTGTAGTGCCTAGAATTTAATGTTTAGCTTCAAAGTGTTTTATAATCTGAGTTTTATTTAACAACCTGGTCTTGATTCAAACTCCAGTGATACTGTGGGGTGCTGTTTTACTGCTCTGTTGCAATTGCATGCTAAGACTCATTCCTGGGAGGCTTAGTCTTATTAGTTCTGAGTTAAAATGTTTAACAAGCAAACCTCAGTTTGCTAGATCAAAATGGAGTGATAGTTTGTGGAGTTCTGAGGAATAATAATATAAAGCTTTTGATTAAAAGAAAAATATCAATCATGCTTATTTTCATGCTTCTTGTGTAAATAGGTGGATTTTGATGCTCCTTTGGGGTACAAAGAACCAGAAAGAAGTGCACAACATGAAGAGACCACAGTAGGTTAAGCTTCTGTTCTTCAAAAATGTCTTCCCTAGGAGTCAGCCCTGCTTGTGATGGAGCAGCGAGCGCCAACATAAATTTTTGTCCTGAAACAATTTCTTAAGACTGAACTTTACCTACCAGATGCTTTTGCTTGTGTTACTTTGGAGATGGTTGTTTACCAACTGTTGATTTTGGAGAGGGATTGTTCTGAAGTTTTGTTTGGTCAGAAACATCTGGAACTGTTTTCATGTGTTCTGCATATCACAACATGAACACAATAAACTAACTTGTTTTTTCTCTCACAGGATGTTGAAGCAGACCATAGTGGATATGTGAGTGACATAGGATTTCGTGTAAGTCCCCTATTTCTGCTGGTTTCTGAATGTTGTAAAATGGTGAGGGAAAGTTGTTCCAAACAACTGCAAAATACTAGTACCTGTTCGTAGAGGTGCTCGTCATTTAACTGGCAAGTATCTGCGAATGTTTTGCAGTGCTTACAGCCAGTAACAGTATGACTTGCTGTCCTTAAAAGGGCAGTCTATAAATGGGAGACTGAAACATAGTCCTACACCCAGGGTTCGTCAGCTTATATGTATCAAAAAGAAACATGCTGAATCAAATAATTAAATAAAAATGATAGTAAGATTTTACAGGATATAGTATCCCTGTGCAGCGTGCTTTCGATTACAAGATACGGTTAAATTAAAACTCGCTATGTATCCATAGGCGTTCTCTGGTTCTGGGAACAGATTGGATGGCAAGAAGAAAGGTGTTGAGCCTAGTCCATCGCCAATTAAACCAGGAGACATTCGAAGGTATGTCTGTTTCGTTCAGTTGTCAGCAAGTGAAGGATCAGTGTTTGAGCAGTTTATTTTTTTTTCTGCTCCTGCAATATAAACAAGCTAATTTCATCACCTTATGAGTTTGCATTTAGAAAATAAATAGCCTGATCTTCTAGACTGACTGTGACGTCCCTGACTACTTAAGATGCAGATCCTAAGTTAATGTTGCCAAAACTCACTCAATCAACTCTGGTTCTATAGAAGACAAGTAGGGAGAGGCAGCAGGTCTGGACTGGGCTGGTGGGCTGGATTGAGTGAGGTGCAGAACCCTGCCAATTTTCTAAAGTGGAATTTGGTGTAGAATGACATCTTTCTTGAGTTGGGTAGATAACCAAAGCCAAGCCGTGTGTGGGTTTGTTGTTTTTGGTTTTTTTTTTTCTTGGAAGGAAATTTAGAAAATTCAGACTTAGTGGAAGTGTGCAGGGATTGATTCCTGTGGTGGTCTATCATTTACACCTGTCACAATAAAACTTGAACCCTTGTGGGAAAGCATGTCGATGGTCCTGTGGAAACCACAGGCTATGTGGAAAAGTGCCCACAGCCAAGCTTCTACAGCAGCTCCACTGTCTGATTATTTACTTCATGCAGTGTATGCCTGCTTTCAGAAAATAATTCAGTGGTTTAACTCTAGAATTATTTGGTAATGAAAATTTGCAGCCAGTGTTGGTAGAATACTGACAGACATAGAATAGGTCTCACTGTGTTCAATTGGATGGTAGGTATAAAACTTCTTTCGTAATATTTTTATGCTTCTTTTCCAGAGGAATACCCAACTATGACTTCAAGATCGGTAGAATCACATTCATTAGAAACTCACGTCCACTAGTTAAGAAAGTCGAAGAGGTAAATAAAGTTGGATCCTTCCCAGTTTTGCACAGAATTAGAACATTGAACTACTGTCCAAGTTTGTGGTTCCTCTCTCCATACTTGATTTTTCACAGTGGACTTCTGTTAAAAAGTGGTAGTAGTTAAAAAGTGAGTTAGGTGAAAGTCTGATGTACTTGCTTGCTGATGTAGAAAGATTGGCCTGATGTAAGTTTAATAAGTCAGTGCATACTTGTTTCAGCTGGCTGCGAGGTCACTGAAATGCTCGTATTTTATTTTCAGGAAGAAAGTGGTTATTATGGATGAGGAGCCAGCCGAGAGCTTATGGGTCAGGATTAAAGGGAGGGCAGGGACAGGTTGCATTACAATGGGCGTCTGCTACAGGCCACCCGACCAGGAAGACCAGAGCGGATGAGGCCCTCTATAGACAGAGAGGAGCAGCCTCACGTTCACAAGCCCTGGTCCTCATGGGGGACTTCAGCCACCTCATGGGGGACAACACGGCAGAGCATAAGCAATCGAGGAGGTTCCTGGAATGCATCCATGATAACTTCCTTCTCCAAGTGGTAGAGGAGCCAACGAGGAGAGGTGCTGTGCTGGACCTTGTTCTCACCAACAAGGAGGGGCTGGTGGGAAGTGTGAAGCTCAAGGGCAGCCTTTGCTGCAGTGACCATGAAATGGTGGAGTTTAAGATCCTTAGGGCACCAAGGAGGGCACACAGCAAGCTCACTGCCCTGGACTTCAGGAGAGCAGACTTTGGCCTCTTCAGCAATCTGCTTGGTAGAGTGTCGTGGTACCAAGCCCTGGAGGGAAGAGGGGCCCAAGAAAGCTGGTTAATATTCAGGGATCACCTCCTGCAAGCTCAGGAGTGATGCATCCCAACAAAGAGGGAATCGGGCAAAAACACCAGGAGGCCTGCATGGATGAACAAGGAGCTC